CACGGGGAATGCGTTTGATTCTTGTGACGTCGACGTTAACAACATGGACGTGTTGCCTGGCGAAGCCGTGCTCGTCGTATTCGAGAAAGAAACAGTGCTTCGTGTCGAGGGGTGTAGCGTGCTGAACCGGGTCGTCAACACCTTCGGGCATGCGAGGCCCCACCCCCTCGCCCTCATCCCCCGAGTCCCGCAGTTCGTGTGGCTTGACCCTCTGCGAGTCTTTCCTACAGCCGTCACGACCGTCACCATGATTGCCAGTTCGCCCCCCCCTGCCAGTTTTTCGAGGAGCCTGCATTTCCTAGGATGCCGTCAAAGCTCCACGAGCCTCATTGATGGCGTCATTCCTCGCTTGTTTCGTTTGACTCATTCGAGAGATCGACACTTCTCCCCTTTTTATCTTTCCCTGTGAGCCATGTTTGTCTCTCTCATCCTTCGCCTGGTTATGTGACTTCGACACTCCATGGGAGGTTGCAGGTCGACCATCAGCGTCGTCCGCATCACCAATGTCGTTTGCGTCATCCCCACGGCAAGTCTGTGTTTCATTGACGTCGCGGCGACGCTCGCATTGGTAGAAGCGATTGTCTTTGACTTCCTCACCACCAACGTATCTATCATTGTCCACGTCATTGTCTTCACCATCCACATCTCCTTCATTGCCCCCGTCGTCCTCCTCACCACCGTCCTCCCCCTCTTGGCCCTCTTGGCCCTCGCATTCCTCCTCGTCGAAGGCACCTGCACCTCCCCGGGAACGATGTTGGGGATTAGCCCGGTGGCGCAGAGCTGCGTCGTCGTAGTCTGTGGCCTCGCTGGGCTGCTCGGCCGCATCCTGACCTTGTTGATGTGAGGGCGGGAGTGGAGCAGAAAGAGCCTGGGCAAACGCATTCGATGAAGAAGGGTGAGTTGGCAATTGCTTCCTCTTCGCACCCAGTGTGGCCGGCGGATCTTGGCGTCGTTTGGGACCCGCGTCAATGGGCACGAAAGCACAGTCCACTTGTTGGGCAACACGCAGCTTCGTGAATTGTTCCCTGTATCGCATTACAACACCTGCCAGCTGGTCCGTTGGAATGTTGAACTGGACCAAAGACCCGCTGAGCAGGAAAGCACTCTCGACGACGGGCAGGGAGCCAGTGACGCGGCAACCGTTGGTTTTGGAGAGGAACTTTTTTGGATCCAGCATTCGGAACTCAGTGCCGTCGCCACGCACGTTAAACGCTTTCATCGAGAAAGCCTTGACACCGTAGCCTTGTAAGATACGAAGGTCAAGAGACACCTTGTTGTCTTCCTTGACCCAGTTTTTCCCCTCGCTGTCATAGACAGAGGTAAGAAAGAACGTCCTAAACTTCATATCGTCGTAGTTAGCCGTCCCCGCTTCATATTTATCAACCCCTCCGCAACAGTACCAACTGCCACCATTGTCATCGCTCAAGAAGACAACTGCTCCATAACCGAATGTATGAAGACCACCAACCCAGTCAAGAGCCCAGGGTTTGTCGTTGTAGAGCTTAGATATGCCGTACGCAAGTTTCTCAGGGACGGAGGTTGAAGCAGATTTTCCCGAAGGGGGGCATGACAAAAAAAAAGACAACAAGTGAACGCAATTGAGTGGCACAAAGAAACACTTGTTGCCTGAAGACCACAACACGGACACGGGCCCCCTTTGGTTATTTGCGGACCCCGAGAACGTCGGACCCCATGCACACGGGGTAGGGGTTCCGGCGTTCTGTATCCGCTGGACCCCCTCCCCCGATGAATGCAAGGGGTTCGCCGGGTCCAGACCGCTGGACCGCCTCGCGCGAGGCGGCGTGGGGGTTTGCCGTTCCAGGAACGCCGGATCCCCTCGCCCGCGACGGGATGGGGGTCCGGCGTTCCGAGAACGCTGGACCCTATCTTTATCAGCATGGGGGTCCGGCGTTCCCAGAACGTTGGACCCCATCTCTAACCGGCATGGTGGTCCGGCGTTCCCAGAACGCCGGAACCCCATGCCTGCAGCGCCGAGGGGGTCCGTCATTCCCACAACATTGGACCCCTTTGCCCGTCGCGGTATGAGGGTCCGACAGAACCTTCCCCCTCTCTCCCTCAACCGCAGCGCCGTAGGGGTCCGGCGTTCCCAGAACGCTGGACCCCTTCGCCCGTGGCGGCATGGGGATCCGGCGGTTTGAGTCCGCCTGACCCCCATGGCGCAACGAACATGGGGGTCCGACATTCTGGGAACGCCGGATCCCCCATGTCACGACACCCATGCCGCAGGGGGTATGGGGGTCCGTCATTCCGGGAACGCCAGATCCCCCATGTCCGCGGTGGCATGGGGGTCCGACAGAACCTTCCCCCCCTCTCCCTCGCCCGCAGTGCCATGGGGGTCCAGTGTTCCCAGAACGCTGGACCGCTTCGCCCGTGGCGACATGGGGATCCGGTGGTTCGAGTCCGCCGGACCCCCATGCCGCAGCGGCCATAAGGGTTTGACGTTCTGGGAACGCAGGATCCCCCATGTCCGCGGCAGCACGGGGGTCCAGCGGAACCTTCCCCCCCCCTCCCTTGCTCGCAACGCCATGGGGGTCCGGCATTCTTGGAACGATGGACCTCCATGCCCATGGCGGCATGGGGATCCGGTGGTTCGAGACCCCCATGGCGCTGCGGGTGAGGGAGAGGGGGGTAAGGTTCCGCTGGACCCCGCGAAGGGGAGGGGGGGAAGGTTCCGTCGGACCCTGCGAGGACGAGGGGGGTAAGGTTCCGCCGGACCTCGCGAGGGAGAGGGGGAGAAGGTTCCGCCAGACCCCGCGAGGGAGAGGGGGAGAAGGTTCGCCGGACCCCCGTGCCGAGTTCGCCTGACCTCCATGGCGCTGTGGGTGGGGGGTCTCTCTCTTTCTCTCTCTCTCTCTCTCTCACACACACACACACACAAACACACAAATAAATAAATAAAAAATATCCCCCCGACCGCATTGCGAATCAACCATTCCAACAACTGTTACCACCGATCGATCCACGAATGAAATTGAGATTTCAAAAAAAAAACCTGGGGGGGAAGAATCACGATTCTCCCTCCCCCACCCTCATTGCCATCAACCATTCCATCAAGTATTAATGGATCCACGAATAAAGTTGAAATTTTGACAAAAAAAGGCGGTGGGAACTACGTGGCACCCTCCGCCGCAGCCGCAGGATCCGAGTCCGCGGCCCGGATCCTAGGACGCGAGTTCGCGGCCTAGGCCATGCAGCCGAGTTTGCGCACAGGTGGGCGCGCGCCCTCGAGATCCGAGCGCGCGCGCGGCCTGCGCACGTCGGCCGCTATAGGCCTGTGCAAAAAAAAAAAAAAAAAAACGAAAATTTGGGGGGGCGATTTTTGATGTGTGA